TTTAAATATTTTCCTTATTTTTTTAAACTAGTCCTAACTATCCTATACGGATAAATCTTTTAAATTATACGATGTACATACAAGTAAAAGTATTGCGGTACATCAAACAGTTTCCGATGAATGTTAGTTTTAACGCTTCACATTAAATTATTGGTTAGCATTGCAACGGAAAGATACCACTTTTAATATGACAGATATGATGTTTCATACGTCACATTTTGTTAGTTGTATTGCAACAACAAAATATGTACGTCTTAAAGAGGTTGGATTTTGGTAAAGATTTTTAAAAAGTTGCTAGCTTTCTCATTCTATGTGTGACAGTGTCGAAGTATGGCATAGTAGAAATAATTCTTTCAAAAGAATGTTATGAAATGCCCTTATATTCATAATATAAAGCGAAATTCCTGAAACGTTTGGATCAAAGTGATGTCACTTGTCTGTGCGCGTGAGGATGTGTGTGTGTGTGTGTGTGTGCGTGTGTGTATGTGGGGAATGTACATGTAGTCCCACATACGGACTTGTATGTGTAGTAAAAGTAATTTCAGCAATATTGAGTAAATTTCTTCTAATTTTCATCATTCTAAAACCTGTGCACGTCTTCTTACATGATTAACCTTTCCTTAATGCTTCCACATTACCCAGCGGGTTCCTTAAAAATATAAATCACACGACCACCATTTTTACTCGATTTTCTTTTCAATCGCGAGCAGATAAAGTAGGTTGATTACACGAGAGCAGCGGTTCGCCATTCAGCTCACAGTTAATTTGGTAGTAATATCAACAATTCTCTCGAGGCATCATCCTCTCAAATGCCTCCTATATGCCATCAATTGCCCTAACAGCATGTATGATGATTACACTGCTAATTTGACATCGTCATGGAGATAGGACTACCATTAGTATCTCTTAAAAATGGGTGTATCAACCTGGTTTTCCCGCTCAGCTGAACGATGTGTCCAGGGCAAAAAACGAAGTCTAACCGCTAAGAATGAGAACAAGTTAATTACCTTGTAAGCTAATATGAACGGGAGGTTGGTACATGCATTATTAACGAAGCCAGAGTCCCACTGTATACAAAACTCAGCTTAATATATTCCATTCATGGCGAATAAGACACCATGTCGAGAATAAAACATGCAATTTTATGCCCGAAGTATATTGAGAACTAAGAACATTTTAATAGGCTTGTGCGTCAGCTATTGAAATGTGCCAACATGACAATGACGTATGACCTTATCCGAACGTTATTTCTAAATTAGTTATACAATAGGATATCAAAATTGACCTTGAGTCTAATTTTTTTCGATGAATAGTTGCTATCGTGTTCAATATACGAATATTGGATAATAATAGAAGGAATATTTTAGTTCGTTGTTTTGCAGTTTACTGCCTGGTTCGATTGATTGTATATAGAAAATCTTTTCCTTTTACTGATACAGTTTCTATGTTACATTGACTTCCCTTTAGCTTGAGGATAAATATCTGGTATTCTAGGACATGCATCAATAAAAGAGAAATGATTAAAAAAAAATGTAGATCAACCTAGCTGGATTTCATTAGTTTTTGGGTGAAATAGAAATTGAATACCCATAGAAAAACCCTTATGTGTAATGAAAGTGGCTGAGATACAAAGAAATATAACACATAGAATGTTATAAGCTTACAGCAACAACAAAATAGTCTTCGTGTACCAGTATTGGTACACCGTGGTTCGGGTAAAATAGTTGACTCTAAGTTCAGCCTTAAAATATAAATATAAAAAATATACAAAAATCAATCAGCTAATCCTCTTCTATTCACGAAGATGAAAGGGAAATCTATAAATCCATTTGGACAATGCAGCGAGCTTACAGTCTTTTATATCAAAAAGCCACTTTAAATTCTAATTAGAGACGATAAAAGGCCTATTTCTGAAGGCAAAGCTAATCAATTTCGTGCTGACCTGGACTGTAATTGCAGTTTCTCTGTAGCAGCAATTCTGCGATGGACAATTATATAGACGCGTCAAGGCTACTTGTAATACCAAGATAATATGGAATTGCAAGTATGATGAATAAATAATTGACAGGACCGTGTTGGCTGTAATTGCAATGACAGCCATGTATATTTTATGGCATAAGCGTAGAGGGGGCCTTTGAGGGGTGGCCCCCGGTGATATTTTAATATATTGTTGTCACATATTTTGATGTGGTGGGGCGCAGACGGTCAACTGCCTTTCCCCTTTTATATTTGACCCTTTCCAACTCTATTAAACATTATTTCGGTAAATTGTAATATTCAATCGGGAAATGTGGGGCTATAATTCTTGTTAAATTTGCTCCCTCATTCGAATGAACTGCCCCACCCCTCTTATTATACAACGAAACACTTTGACTGAATCAAATAATCTACAATGCATCGGGTTGAAATTGAACACTTGAACATATGAATATGGTTTCTACGTCTCGAAAATTCCATCTCAGGTGTTCGAATCGTCTTGGCCTCGCGGACAAGATTTAATTTAACGAAGAAAATCATCTAATGCCAACACCAAGCTAGAAGCACGAATGTACCCTACATATAGCTTTATCAGTGTAAGTGATCCAAAATAGACAAATTTTCCTCTAGACAATAGACCTAGATATTCAAGGATATGCTTTTCAGTTATAATCATGCCAGCAAAGTATAAAAGCGTGTATTTATTTGTTGCTATGGGAACCCATTAGAGGCGTGTGGAGTTGGCGCGAAATTTCTAAATGAAATAAAGCGCTGGAAACAATTCATTAAATGCGAGTTTTTTAATAATCTTTTCAAAGGCAATCATGTGGGTTTTTTTTTTAGGGAGAGTTGTATTCTAGGAACGCAAATATGGACTAAAAGATTAGGCAGTTTGAAGTCTACTTTGGTATTCACGGCTAATTTCGCTTTTTTTTTTCCCCCCCCCTTTCTCTCTCTCTCTCTCTCGATCAGTCCTTTTGATGAAGCGTTCATTCAATTCAGCGCAAACACCATTTTTGGTTGAGACTGTCATTACAAAATGCACTTCAGTCATTCCATTTAAAAGTATCGAACACCGGATTTCAATCTGTTTTCATTCAATCTCATTCCGCCTCGTGCATGTGCAAAGATTCATTCAAATTCATAGGCAGTTGCCGAAAGGTGAAAGTCAGTAAAATGATCACAAGATAAATTTGACCTAACCATTTTTGTTTGAGGTACGTACGAGAACAATCCAATCCCCTTTCATTTCTCACAACCGGTTTTGTCAAGGCCATTTTGAAATTCGAGGGAGGTGTCGATCGGAGCAAATACTCTTATATCGTTTCCGATAATTTTTCTATAACATGCAAAACAAGTAACTAAAAGGAGGTTCCCCATCATTTTTAACAGCAACTATGGATTATAGGACAGCAAGGAACAATGGGGGGGGGGGGAGAGGTATCCATCCTCGTTAGGCGATGTACTCGCTCTTTAATGTGAACTAGATTGGTTGGTTGGTCTGTTTAACCTGACTGCTAAGAAAGCATGTGTATGCTTGTAAGTAGGCAATCAGAGGACCGACGGCTTCAAGTCATCCCCGAGGTAATTTATGTATGAAAATATATAACGTATTACAATCGGTGCAATGAAGAGGGCCTCAATCAAGGATGTATGAAATTATTGTAATTGGGCTGGCTGTAAAAGCACTTCGTTGTCCCTAGCAACGACAATTAAACATCTATGTTGTGGATGTGGATAGGTACTTATGATAGTGATGAGCTTTGACGAGGATGCCGTTTTTGCAATGATTTAATGTCGGCTATAGTGAGAAGGGCATAACAACAATCCGGATAAAAGAGTAATTACGTCCCGCGGTCATTTCGACTTCCTCTAGAGATACATTGTGGCCATCGACGGATGGAATGCGCAATGCTTAATGGAACTAGGCTCGAGGTTAAGCAATGCGTCGCCTTCTGTAAACCATAGAAAATACCTAAAGCAAAGTAAACCGATAGGAAAAGTGTCTGTAAAGGTCATGTTTTCTCTCGTAATACATTCTAATAACTATGAAAGTAATAATATCTACGTGGGAATGTACATCACATGTGGTGGGTATTAAATAATCAAGGTCTCATCCATGTCGTGACGTATAGGATATCCTGGATGAATATTGATCTGCGCAAATGAAAATGTGATAGATATGGCATTCATGACTTTAAAAAAAGAAGAAAAAAAGCCCATTCTATGCAGGGAGAGTATAGAGGCAATGAAAATAAAATCAGCCAATTTGCGAATGGTTTTTAGCTCGTCAATCGAGGTTCGACAAAGCTTACGTAAAGAGTCTAGGCTATATCGTTGATGGATTATTTCAACCGACTGCCAAGATAGCAGTGCATGCTTGAAAGTAGTAAGCAACCAGAGGATAGACAGCTTTAAGTCCTCTCCGAGGGACTTGGTAATGAGGATTGATGCCTTACCAAAGGGGCATTAGTGAACCCACTTGGTTTTGAACCCGGGTCCTCCCAGTTACGAGACGACTGCTCTTCCACTAAGCCATCTCGCTTCCGCAACGTGCTCGCAACTATTAACATTATTTAGTAATGGTGAATACCTAAATAGTGCAGACAGTCAAGCCTATTGGCAATTAGTGCATCTATTGCCATACCAGTAATCTGATTGGACTGTCACAACTATCTCGGTGATAAGCATACAATGTAAAATTTGTCAACGGAGTACACACATTATAGCAAATCGATTTTCAAATGAATTCATTCAGCCCTCAATATACGCACTTGCTTCATGTATATAATTTATATTTGCTATCTATGGTCAGTAAAGTGTGATTTTACCGTAACCTGTGATCGTTTTTTATTTTATTGGATAAACGACACTGTAATTGCCCAAGTCACACCGACGGGACTGACACCAGACCGACAGAAGACCGATCACAACATTGCATAACTCCGAATAGCCAATAATTCGGTCGGTTTAGAATCAGTTTGGCGGTGTGACAGGAAAGGGGGGTGTCATTGGTCAGAAGAGTTTGGCCAACTCGGTTCTAGGTGGGCACAATATGGCGAATATTGCACCAAAAAAAGTACACGCCATTGTGCTACAGACTGAACCCAAGTTGACCAAACTCTGATCTAAATTGGGGGTTTCTTGCTTCTACAGTAGTGACACACACAAAGTATTGCATTTCACTTTGCACTTTGAGGATACCATATCGGAATAGTTTTTCTCCGTCAATGTAAATACGCTAATCAATACATTAATGCTACTTACCGATGCACTGCGTGATTCAGTGTAATGGATACAATAATTCTGAAAGCAACCATGTCTGTGACAACCAAGATAAGGTGGTACATCAGAGATGCTTATAATGACAAATTATACAGTAGCAAGCTACAATCGTTTGTTTTCAAAAGGTGAAGCAATGCAATATAAAGTAAGCGGTGTAAAAGCCAACTGCTGACGTCTGTTCTGGTGGTATACAACAATTAATCTGCATTATTCAAAAATTGTCTCTCTAAATCGAAAATTGAAAGACGTCCACAATCCTCAAGAGGCTCCAGGTCGCCTAAGGTTCAAGGTGATTAGCTAGTCGATTTCAAATGTTCTGGTACTGCGACGTGCCTTCTAAAATGCTCCATCCTTGTTCTAGACTTTATTCACACCTTCATGTGTTCCAAATCGACAAAACACGACAATTGTTGGAAAAAATCAAAACCATGAATGATTCTACTCCAACCAACATCAGCAATGAGCCGGATTAATTTCATCATGATGCGCATTCCATTCACCAACATTTTGATTCGGTATTGGCGATTCCTTCCAAGCTCCAGACAAACCAACCCCCAATATGGAGGTGATGCGAAGATTAACTCTATTCAGGAATGAAAACACAGGATGTCTTCCATTAACTGTTGTCTCCTGGTGTCTTGTGCCATCCATACCGCTCGTGCGTCTCCACAATGGCACGGAAGCTGACCTCAGCCTCCTGTTTGTTGAAGGGGACGTCGCTGCGGAAACTGGACTGTACGATCCGGCCATCCCCTGCTACCAAGGTCGCACCGAGCTGCATGATGACGGCGTCGATCGTGTACGAGCTCGACCACCCCTGCGGGGTGAGCAGTTCCATGCAGATGGCACCGCCGTCAAGCACGTAACCGTATTCGACATGGGGGCTGACAACACGGACGAAAGGCGGAACGAACGGGAAGTTGTCGGGGAAGGTCATATTAAAGAGAATGTACTCGTAGTTGTGTTTCTTCATGTCCTTGCTCAACGACGATTTGGGGTTGACATGAAACAGCTTGATATTCCAATCGGCCAGGCTGTCATTGACGAGTTCCACTGCGTATGGTGGCCCTGTCAGTTTCTCATTCGTCATAAACCCACCATCTTCTAATGCTTTCTTTACCGCCTCCGCTCCCTTCTCCGCTCCCTCCTCCGCTCCCTCCTCCGCTCCCTTCTCCGCTCCCTTCTTTGCTCCCTCTTCCGCTCCCTCCTCCTTGTTATCTCCACTATTCTCCCCTTTATCATCTACGGTAGATGTGGAACAACCGGCAACAGCTTCTGCCGTTCCACTTCCAGTTTCATTGCTACTTTTGTTAGGTGATTCTACTGATGTGTTTGAATCCTTACTTTCACTGCTCTTCGATGCTTCACCCGATTTCTCTTCCGCGCATTCACTCTGCGATTCATCTTTGCTACTCACTACCTCCTTTGATACATCTTCTTTTGGGGGGTCTGTATCTTCCTCCTCATCATTTGCATATCGCTCCTTTTCCTCTTGTTCCTTTTTCCTGGCTTCCTCAATGATCTTCGTCACTGCTTTAAACTCTTTCATGAGCCTCCTCATCCTCACATTGCTGACGTAAGCCTTGCTAGGCTGCGGCATCCTCATGAGCGTCTCTGCTGATAAAGCCCTTGTTCCATCAGCCACGTTGTACTTGAGTTCCTCGGGGGTGGCGTCCTTTTCCTCTGCGGTTGATACTGTCCCCGGCAGCTCGGCTTTGTCCCGGAGAGCTTCGCCGTAAGGATAGACGTCATCCCCGGTACCCGAGATCGAAAATATGGTAAGGCTCCCATTTCGAGTAATCGTCACCGAGTCTTCAACGCCGCTCGTACTCAGTGGACCACCTTGGTTATTTTTGTGGCGTTTCCTGGCCAAGGCTCTGACCTTTGATCTGGCACTTCGACGTCCACTGACGTTTGCCAGTGGGAGGCACGGGCATAGGTATTTACCGACGAATTCAGCCATTGCAACACGGCTTATACGCTTCCTTTTTTGTAATACACAGACGTGTTAAATCAAACAGCAAAATTAGAAATTGTCTGCTCTTCAAGCATATCAATCGCTTACACGACCGTGATTAATATTACGCTTCACCGTCGATGCAGTTGCTTGAACTTTGAAAGTATCTGTAGTATCACATCTTCGCTATCACGTATACATAAAGCTTACAACTGGATTCCCACTGAAAATCAATTATTGTTCGGCCAAAAGCTGCTCTGCGTGCAAACCGTAAATTCCTCATGGCTTAAGCAATTCACCAAACCTACGAACGCTCAAATCTTAGGTATTACGAGCGATTCCATGAGAAAACGTAAAGCGTCGACATGAGAGTTGTACATCAAACTATGACTACTTCCACGGTCAGCATTTCAGCATAGAAGGATGCGGCGTTCTCATGTATTATGACCACCCAAGTTATGTACTCAGAGAAGTTGCACAAACAACCACGCTCACGTCAACCACTTGTTGATTTGTAAGGTTTCACGGACTCGTACCTCATGTCACGTGAGCTGAGCGAGTCGACTGGTGTGGTGTACGCATGCCAGCTATCTGCGTTATGACTGGTGGCATGTAATTTAACCAACTGCGGATGAACGAGTAAAATGCGATGCAGTGCGCGGAGCGCGGGGTGTCCCTCTATGGTCTAGACGCGGGGCGGAGATAGCGGGGCGGCAGGGGTTAGACTGTTCATGCACCCTCTCAGCAAAAGAATTGAAATATGAATTTTTAAAAAATGGTTGTAATGCCCTCTCCTTATTGACAGTGGGATTGAGTGGGATAAATGTATGCATTTAAGCAGTGGCGTAATTTAAAAAAAAAACTATGTTTGTGGGGGGGGGGGGGGGCAGGAAAAAAAAATTCGCATCACCACCCGGAAAATCATATCATTTTAGCATCATTGGTTAGAAATAAACCACTATTAATTTTATTTGGGGGCAACTGCCCCCTCACCCCCCCCCCCCGTCAGTACGCCAGTGCTTTTAAGCAAAAACGAATTATGTTTTCTCAATCCGCTATATTATATATGAATTAACTTTCATCTTTGTTCATTATTACATTTCATCTTAAATTTCATATCTGTTCTCAAATATTAGGATGTGCAATCACCCATTGCCTTGTGTGGCTCATTCTAATATCTCTATTTTCTCTTCCTCTCTCTCTCTCTCTCTCTCTCTTTTCTCTCTCTCTCTTTTCTCTCTCTCACTCTTTCACTATTTCTCTCTTCCTCTCTTAACCTTTCTATTTCTTTCTCACTTTCTCTCTTATTCCTATCTATTTCTATCTTTCTCTCTTCGTCTAATTACCCTAGCTGCTCTCTTTTTCTCTCTCAGTCTTTCTCTTTCTCTCTTTTATATCTTTCTATCTCTTTCTCTTTCCCGACTATTCTCTCTTTACCTTTCTATGTCTCTCTCTCTTTACCTTTCTCATTCTCTCTTTATCTTTCTATCTCTTTGTCTTTTTCTCTCTTTACCTTTCTCCTCAGCTTATTTTTACACTGATCCCCTCTCTTGCAGAGTTCTGCATTAAAAAAGAACCCGAATACTATGTCTTTTGCTAAATTATAGGACTCACTAAGCATCAAGCTTTATTTGTCTTATCTTGGAGCTTCAGTTGTGTTACTCCGGTTTTTCTCTATTTTATACATTCCGTTCAGAATTGTATACAATTAACTATACGAAGTAAACAAACGGAAATGAAATTGCCCAAATAAAATAGTTTATAAACATGCTCAAGAATCAATATTTTGGGAAATAGATTTATCGCTTGTTTTCATCCCTAAACTCCCCTTAAATATAACACACTTTGGGGGTATTTCCGCGTCCATTTTAGCCCCCCCCCCCCTCTCCCGCTCAGTCGGAAGAAGAAAAAAATTATATTTTCCTCCCGACGACCCCGCCAATAAACTGTTGCCTCGATGCTGTCGGTGTCTTAGCTAAATCCTCATTTATTAGATGAAGAGTTTGTCCGCTCCCAGGCTTTTTCGTAGATAGCGTGCGATGTAGTGTGAGCCATTTATCATTAATTCCCTTGTCAGATAATCATGGCCATTGATATACATGTAGCCGGAATATCTCGTGTTTTGTAACATGTGTTCGAGTGGGCGACGCGATCAAAGCGAATCGTGCAATTAGGTGTGCGTGAGTGTGTCTGTATGCGCCCTTGTCTACAGTACCAGACCGAGGACACACATAATTAAGAACTGTACATGCACTCAGAGGACCACACGCAAAACGCCTTTTCATATAAGGTATAAGTAGGTCCTCGGTTCTGCATTACATTTATTCGTCGTCCCCGGGATGTTATATTCCTACAAATGATTTATAATTGAAAGATTTTAAGTTTTATATCTCCTCAGAACTTCGTCTATGAAGAACAACAAATATTTTCACATTTATTTCTGGAATAGAGGTAAGAATAGTTTATTCCAACTTTCTGGGCAACAGTGCAGCTTTCGTAGTGCCAAATATCTTCGTCTGAGATTTTCATGTAGAGTTATTACTATTAGGCCGCCGCCCCCCCCCCCCCCCCCCCAAAAAAAAAAAAAAAAAAAAGAGGCTGTATTGCCCTTTAGGTGCCAAAACATTGGGTCTGTCGGATTTTTTTTTTTTTTTAATAACTTTTTTTCCTCCCTCTTTGGGCTGACATTTCGATAACATTAACTAGTAGCAACCAGAAAAAACATACTTTTTGAAAGAATCGGCTAGCTTTCAGTGATTCCATAGGATAGGCGTTGTACTACTAGGAAATGAAGCTGTACAACGTTATTCTTGTATAGTTTCATAGCTGTACAAACAAACCCTTGACATGCAGAATATGTATCAGAACATCAAAACAATACAGCACGCAACAAAAACCAAACTGAAATACAATGCTGGATATGACAATAACCCATTACCAATTACGTCGAATTGGGTCAATAAATCAACTCTTAATTACTGAAGGTATAAATAGTTTAACTGACTGTAAGTATGGTATATTATTATCATAATGTATGAACAAATATGGGAATTTAGTGCAGATTGTGAAACTGTATAGTAATGATTATTATAATATTATGGCGAGTCGAGAACAAAAAAATATTTTTGTTTAAATATCAACTCAGATAAGATGATTCTTTAAGATGGACTAATACGACATTCAATTTGATTTTCGTTTGAATATACGTATGAAGGTTAATTCTGAAACATGTTACAGCGGTCACAGATTATCAACTGCAGCGATGACATGTTAAAAAAGAAAGTGAGGACGGAAGAATCCAGCGATGGAATTACTAATTCGCGCAGGTATGATGACGAAGGAATCTTGTTGGTAACACTTCGGACGTACTTAAGCTTTCATTCACCACTAACTGGAAAGCGATGGAAGAAAATAAATTAAAAAGGTAGGAAAGTAAATAGCCAGTCCAATTATGCGACCCCGTTTTATGTTCCCCCATCGTGTACAAGATGACAGTTACCAGTATGGTGAACTGAAAATTATCTGGGGATTTATAGACCACTCTGTGGCAGATCCAGCATCAGGTGGTCGGGCTGGATTCAGTGTACGCCCCCTCCTGAAACCCATAAATCAATCAATAAATTATATCATATTCTGGATTTGCCACTGAAACTCCCAGATTATGGTAACTACTTTCGAAAAAGCACACGAATTAAAATCACATTTAATGGTCTGGTTTTAAAGTAATTCATGACGATAGAAATTGAATCACGTCTGATGTGTAAGCCAGGTAAGTATTTGTACAGTAAGCTGCTGTAGGAAATTGATTGTCTCTCGACTATATCTTTTGGAATTCCGAATTCCGGTTACAATTTTTGGGGATTACTTGAAACTGGAGTTAATGGGGATAGGTGTTCACTTGTTTTCAAGAAGTTAGAACTTTAAATTCATCATTTTGAAACACCCTTTAATACGTGACTGTGACATCACTGTGTTACAAATCTTTAGTTACTTTTGTAAAATATTTCAGAATTCACCTTCACATATTTACTCAAACGAAAATGAATTTCGTATTTGTCCACTTAAAAGCATAATCTTATCTGAGTTTTTTTTCCCTGCATTTTTCAACATAGTTAAAAGAAATACACAAACTAAAAACATATATAGCCTACCCTGTATTATTAAAAAAAAATCAAAATGAATATAATATAATCATTTTATAATATAAATCGATTAAATGATTAATACAAGCGACCGCCATCTTAAGCTATAGCTCAAACTTAATGGCGGCCTCAGGAAAGGTACCTAATTATGAGTGGTCAAACTTGTGATATTTATAAAATCAGAAATAAATGTATTATAACATGATGAAAGAAATCCATTGGTATAAAGGCATAAAATGAAATGGGTTAAGATTAAATGTTTATATTATGTAAATGTATGTCTTTTGTGAAACTTGTTATTTATGTTCTTATTTAGGTATGTGAATGTGCAATTGTGTGTGGGGGGGGGGGGGTTCTTGTATTTGGAGCACTTATTTAATAATGAATGATATATTATGATGATAATAATTTACGCATCATGGCAGCCTTGAAATAAAATACGTAGTAACACATTGTGAAATGCCGGAGGAAGTAGGTTATTGGAGTATTTAAACGTAAGATTACAACCTGCAAAGTATTGATATAAGAAACTGGTTTTGGGGGTTATTCCTTAGGCGATGTTGATATTTAAACGAAAGTGTTTTGTTTACGACTAGATTTGATATTGCTGCAGTTTCACGATATGTTTTGGCTTAACACTTTTCTCAATTATGTTATTGTAATTTCATCCCTTATTCTAAAATCATGATCATATAATAATTATACCACGTAAAAATGAAGATTTTATAATCGTACTTCTGCCAAGGTAACATAAAATAACTGGGATAGACAACAATGGAGAGAACGAAATTTATTCTAATTGAAATCTTTTAAACAAAAAACAAACAAAAATAATTTACTGAAAACGTTGTCCACTTAGACAAT